TTCCCGGTGAAGACAGCTGCCCATAGCATGATGCACCTTTCTCTGCCTTCACCAACTTCTATCCAGTACTGTTCCGAGATCCAGGCCCTGAGGTCTCTGCCTTGGCATTTTGCACTACATTCTTGTTATTCAGCATTTAATCAATTAGCATCACTCTCAGCTTCTGTCTCACTTCCATCTAGTGAAATGTGAAAGCTCAGACTTCCCCCAGCCCTCTGAACCATATCTATCTTAACAAGTGATTAGAGACACATTTAAGTGTGAAAACCACTGTGTCCAAGGACTCTGACCTTCTTCTGTTCAAGATCTTCTGTCCAAGGGACATGCCACCTTAGCTCCTACTAGACCCAGTTTCATATACTTAGGCCCCTGAATTCCCTGCCCAAAAGCTCAGAGTCCACTCATATCTAGGGCATAAAGTGGTCTTTCTATCTCATGCACCTGGATCCAACCCCAACAGGTGGCCAAGGGGCATGTATGGCACCCGGGGGAGAAGGTGTTTGAGCTTTCAGGCCAAGTGTCCAGATTCATTTTCTAAAAGTGAGGACCCCAGGACAGAGCCACGGGAGGAAGAACAGGGGGTGTGAACATAAGGCCTTCAATTATATTTTTGCTTCTGTTCTCATGGATGCCAGTATCAAACCCACTTCCTTCCACTGGCAGCTGATATGCCCTCGTAGTGAGGTCCAAGCTACGTGCTAGCAGAGGACAACAAAGACATGTATGCTTTCCAGAAATTTAAAAATACTCTATACTAATATGTTAATCTGGATTCCAAAATTAAGTGCCTTATCTCAAGATGTTCCTATTTTACATTTGTCAGTGAAAGAGAGTAACAGCTTCTAGATTCTATAAATGTAACATGAAGGACAATAAACTTTTGAATGGCTATAAGACAGATTTTACATCCTCTATTTTCACATTTTCTCTTATTTACTTGCTTTTATAAAGCATCCAATAGATATCAAGACTCGGTGAGACCACTGACCAAGAATTACTGAAGATGTTATTTGTAAGTTCTGTATAAATTCACAACTTAGTGCTCCTCCCAATCCTTTCTGTTTTCTCTTTCTTTAATACTGAAAATATGTAGTGACATTTCTTCATAAAATATCTAAAAACAGAGAAATCCTGTCCAGTTTATCCCTGTGTTATACAAATATTGTCATTTTTATTGGACATAAAAAGTGAAGAAGAGTGAGACACATGTGTCCAGATGGACAGAGATAATAAAAATCCTGGGACTTCCAAGATGGGTGGGGCTGACAAGGGTCTTTCTTAATATTACATGAACAGTACACATATTATGATCCTGTTCACAAGTAGTTACTTTTTTGACTTTTATTATATCTATATGCTTTGACAAAGTGTATGCCCTTCCTTTGCTCAATTTGAAGAACAGATTTTCTTTTCAATAGATCAGCTTCAATGTTTTAAACATTTTCCTAATATATAATTATCATCTTCCAAAGACCCTACAGTGCCGTCAGTGTGACTGAAATCAGAACATAAATATTTTAAAAACAGCTGTCAAATCTCAATTGGCAGAAAACAAAAAGCTCCCAAATTCTCATAATCTAACCACAAGGCTATATCACTTAATTGACAGATAATACATTTTTCTAGTTTCCATGATCTCAGCAGCATTCTTAATGCATTAGCGTGATGTGCCACTCTGGACAGTCACTGTGACAATTTATTTAAAGATAGAATGAACTCTGTAATGCTCTGAGGGAGGTGCCCAGCACAGGAATGGTTTTCACATTCTTTGTATCTGGAATATCTGGTATAACATGGCCAGAATCTTTGCATCAAGGGGTATTATTTTTTCCATTAAGAAAAGAACAATTTTTTTTTCACTTAGCAGTTCAACAATTCATTATTTAATTTTTTATGGGGGGGTTCATGCAACAAAACATCTGACTGTGAATGTCTCAGGTGTAGCTGAGAAATCTCTATGACATACACAGAACTGAACCCTGTCCATTGTCAAAGATTGGAAATGCCACTGGACAGAGATCCCAAAGTGATACTTCCCAAGTGTGTACCGCTATCTTCTTTTTGTAGCTCTGTCTGCCCCTCTGTCTTTTTATTTCTTTCATCTTTTCATGTTTTGCTTTCTTCCCCATCTAAGCTCTAGATATGTCAGGAACATCTATAAGCACTGCTTAATTTCTTTTGGAATATTTAATTGGTGACATCTTCTAGCTCTACATTCATTTCCATTAAATAAATATTTAATAAGTCTTTTTCATGGAACAGATGTGGATTTGACACTGTTAAAAAAAGAAGAAAAGAAAAAAAGAAGGTCTGACCCTCATGGAGCTTAGATCATATCATGGTCAGAGAAACAACAAATTATAAACAAATAGGAAAGAATTCTTCAAGTTTTACCCAGTCCCTTACAATATATAGACTCTGTCTCTGTCTCTGTCTCTCCATATATGTATATATACACAATTTCCAGTGTCAGAAAGGAGTTAAGTGTGGGTACTGGCACAGAACTCATTCACAGAGAGTGGTTTAGGGATGTCTATGGAGAATTGAATGCAAGGGCTGAGTGGTGGCAAAAGCCAGGAACACAGCGCAGCAAACCAGGTGCTCAGTGCCAGAGTCCCAAGAGGAAGAATAAAGAGAAATATCTAAGAAAGAACACAAAACAAAAACAAAAATAGCTTTCAGTTTAGGACACAGAAGGGGGTGCAGATCTTATCAGATTTGTTAAGTCCTGTAATACATGGAAGTTTATTCTAAGTATAGGGGAAGGAACTAAAAGTTGTGAACAGATCTCAAATGGGAGACTGACAAGACACAATTGAGTTTCCCAAAACAGACTCTAGCTTTGCCCAAAATGTATATCGGTATGGCCAGAATGGAAGCCAGATAACCACCAGGAGCTTAATGCCACTCTCCAAGAAAGGCAGGAGGATAATTAGGAATAGCATCATGATGAAAAAGACAAGAGATTCAGGATGTACAGTATTTGGAGGAAGGTGAAGAAAAAGGAAAAGAACTGATAACTTTTAGGTTCAATGTGTAAAGAGAGAAATTTTGACTTTAATAAATATGAAAGCATTTCCTTGCATTTTCAAAGGAGACCCAAGAAGGTAGGCTTTTATTTTGCACTAACAGCGTATTAGAATATCGTACACTCTGAATTTACAAATGAAGAGCAAAGGTCTGAAAGGTTGAAATGGCCTTTTTTTCCACCATAAAAGAGCTGAGCTATCACCTGCATTTCTAGTCTCTTATTTTCCAGCCCAGGGATTTTTCCATTATCCAGCACCTCCTCCTGGACTCAGCTCAGTGCGCTACTCAATGTCTTGCATGACTTTCTTTGGAAAGAAATTTCATTAAAAGCTCATCCTTTATCTCCAATATTTTTTAGAAACAAATAAGCATGAGTGAAATAACAGAGTTTGTTAGAAGCGAGACAATTAATAATAAGATTGTAGAATAAAATTTGATTTTTGATGGCCATACTTAGACCACTATGTACTTCTAAACTTTTATTTCAAAAGAGCAAAATACAAAAGATGTTAGGAATTAGTATTTCCTTACTCTATATTCATTGATAATTCCAACTGATCCTGACTACCCCAAGCCAGGGGTCTGCCCCACCTCATACAGGAGTAGCCTCCGTTCACTTAACTTTATAAATGGATAATCTAATGGATAGCTCATGCCATTAAAATGTTCAAAGAGTTCCTGAACTGATGATGTCCACTAACTAGCAAAAATGTGATAAGCAATAGCACAAATTCCTAGCATTGAGGCAGCAGCACACAGCACCTGTCAGGTGCCAGTTTAAGCATCACTGATGCCATTTACTACCATTGGTCAAAGTTCTTAACACCTCAAAGCTCATGTAAAATGAAGATAAAAATACAGAACCAGATAATGAAGATTAAGTAGGATATGGAATCATGTTGAACACCATGCTCAGATATGAACACTATTGGTCAGTTCAGTTCTTATTTGACTCTGAGTGTCAGAAGACCAGGGCAGCTTCTCTTAGTTGAGGGTGTATGAGTCTAGTGCAACAAGATATGTAATGGGAGGTTTTCTAGAGCCCAAGTCCATTTTATCTTTCTGTGTCAGTATCCTTTGCTCTTGGGACTGAAAGACGAAAGCTGTGCTTTCCAGGTAGGATGCTAGGATACGAACAAAGGAAAATATTCCCAAACAATTCTGCTCTTAAAAGTTATTTTTTAAACTCAGGAAGGGACACTGTTCCCATCACTCAGAGCTCATTAGCTGGAAGTGAGTCTCATGACTCCAGGACATATCACTCAGAGCTGGTTGGCAAGAATTTGGTCACATAACTAAATGCCTATCACTTAGAGCTCATTGGCTGTAGATCACATGGGCATGGTAAAGGAGTCTGGGAAGATGAGAGATTTTAAACTAGGCATGTTGCTGTCCTTCATCGCATGAAAATTTCATCATAAAGAAAGAAAGAGAAAATTGCATTTAGGGTAAGACAATAAAAGCATTTGCTGAATAGAGAAATTACTATTAATGACTTTTAAAAAGGATTGAGTTTTCTCAGAAAGTCACTGTTTCTTTATGTTCACACGTAGGGAATAAAAATCTGAATGAAGGCAATATAAATTAAGGGTTAATTCTGAAGCTAATAGGATTAAGATAATTGCTACTGTCCACATATATGCTAATTTCTCAAACATTTTATATTTATACTATTTTTTAAAAATCCCACATTGCTAGTTAAGTTATAAAAGCATTTGAAATAAAGTTAAATTATTTCAAATTTTAATAAGCATACCTTCACCATAATTTTGAATTTAATGAGCAAATTGACAGTTATCTTCATTAAGATAAAAACATGACTGTATATTTATATTACAATGCACGCAGTAGGAATTATACACTGTGTTGCAGAATACCAATAAGTTTTTATTTCTTGTTAACTTTTTATCTTAGAAAAAACTACAAATGTCCTTTTTAAGCAAGGAATGCAACTGGAAAAATAATCTTACCTTACTGTACCTTAGCTGAAGTTCTGAATGTCATTTATTTGGCCTCTAAGCAGAACACAGATGCTAGAAGAGAAAAAGAAGGTGAGATTAACACATAACCAGAATCCTCAGACAGGATAGGATCGTCAATAGGGGTACACATGATAATTTGAGGCAATCTTGAGGTTTCCAAAACAAGGGAAGCTTCCACAAGTGTGTTCTGTAACAACATAACTCCAAGATACACAGCAACGGTTAAGAGGACTTTATATTAGATAGTGCAATTAATAACTCAAAGTAGATTTGTATTTTTCATGCCTTTTTCTTAAAGTCTTAATCTGCACAGAACTAGTAGGGAAAAAAGAGAAGAAAAGTTGTAGATTCTTTGCTATTTTGACCATCGGTGTCTTGGAGATCATCAGTCCTTCGTTGCCCATACATCCCCTTCTCCTTTCCTTGGTCTGTGTCCCCTACACTAGAGCCCACAGTGAGGGAACTGCCAAGGGATGTCTCCTACTTTCAGCAAAGAAAGGCAGCTGACTCTAGCATGGCCTCTCAGACTCTTCCTCTTCCCGTCTAAGGAGTGTGTCTTACAGAAGCAAGGGCTGGAGCTGACCATCCCATTAGATTCTTGCACAGAACATTCAGAGAGATTGAGGCTGAAGGGATAAGTTATCACTGGTCAGAACTTTAACCTAGTTGCAGCTGACTCTTTCTGCCAACTGCTTTGCCTCTTGTATATGCTAATATGTCCTCAGGAAATAATGGTAACATTCCTGGCACTTCCTGAACAAACTAAATCAAATACATTCACACTTACATTACCACCAGAGAAGTAACCTAAAACCCTTCAGCGGGAGGAGGGAACCACTTCTTCCCCTCCTCCTATCTAGCAAACGAACTTTCCTGCCATTTAGGACGTGTCAATGAGTGTAGAGTTCATCCTTTTCTGCTGATATCCATATAGAATTTCATGAATCAAAGGACAAATTCTCAGGCAGTTGGATTTAAACACATCAGTCCTTTCACAGCACCACCACTGTCTTGTACATGGTAGATACTCAACCGATGTCGGTGACATGAATTTTACTGTTAAAATTTATAAAATTCCAAGTTATATTTACCTGATTTACAATTAGTAATCCCAACATTACTTACATATTGGATTCAAGTGACTTTATATAAGTAAATACATATTTCTCAATAATGAAAAATTAAGCAGAACTATTGAGGCTAAAATAGAATTATTAAATACTACAGTAATCAATAATTAAAGTGTCTGCCAATATAAGTATTTTGTATATTAAATGAACTGGGAAGCAATAAGGAAGTTGAACACCCTTAGATTTCTTGAGTATAAGATTCAACAAAGCATTGATTTTGACAACCAGGGAAGAAACTGGCTTTTATCCTAGCTTCAAATTCATTCTGTTGCAAATTAATTGCCCATGACACTCATGTAAGAGTGAGCTTCAAATCTCCACGTACAGCTGACAGGCTCGTCTAAATCTTAGTAAACAAGGTTCAAAAGGTTACATATTCAGAATGTGACTGGTGATCCCAGAGATGGTTGTCGTAATTATGTGGTTAGACAAATAAAGAGGAAAACAAATGAAGAGACAGAAATAATAATGATGGAAAGCTAAACAAAAGGCTTCTTTGAATAGGCCAACGAAATATCACTTTGATTTAGGATTGTAAGAAACAGGATGTTTTGTTAATCTTTAAAGTACTAGTTCCTTTCTGCTAGGCAATGAAATTTTTGAGTACTGAGTCTGAAGACTCAATGAGATAGCAGATGTGGACTTTTAGGATAATAATCTGAAAGTTCCCATTTCCTTAAAATCTCCTCCCCAAAATATCATATTTTCCTAGTTCCTAATTTTTTGAGCATGTATATTCCTCTTATCTCTAGAAAGATGAAAAAACATTTGAGCCAATGTTTTGCAATCTGAGTGGATGATAAATACACCCTTAGTCCTCTGATTTAGATGACATTAATCTACCCACGTCTTGAAATAACTAAGCTTAATTAACTAATTTTACTTCTTACATTCAGCCAAAATTAGATCTCAGACTCTTAGGGATAATATAGATTCTTCCCCTTTTTAAATTTCTAAGCATGCCTTTAGTTTGTCAACTCACCTTATTTAAAGACCAAAATAACAAGTGCTTTTGCAAAATCAATGCTGAAAGCCTGTTTTATGGGATTAGGATAGTTCCAAAAATGTGTAGACTAGGCCAAACATACTTTGCATTAAGTTCTTATTCTTAAATAGCACTCACTAATACCAGTGCCCACACAGATGTCATTCTACACTCTGACTTGCTCCCGTCAAAATCCCTCTTCTTGCCTTTAGCCATCCTACCTAGAGTGTAGGAGACAGAACTAATCAGAACATGAAATGGTTCTCTTAAATGAAGCCATTCAATCCTTGCTAACTGAAGGGAAGTCAAAATAACAGCAGGGGAAGGTGCTGAGGATGAATAAGTTTTGTTTTCTGCGTGCCAGGATGGTCATTAGCTTCAGTCTGTATACGAAACATGAGGTCAGAAGACTGTCCCAAGTTTGTCCTGTAAGTAGTCAGTACAACAGTTATTCAAGCTCGGGTCCTTTTTATTTCAAATCCCACATTATAGTAGTAATAACAACAATAATAAATATTTACTAAATGCTTACTATATTGCAGGCATTATTCCAAGCCTTTCCACACCCCCAATTATATAACCATCACAGCCTGGTGAGGTAAGAACTATTCTTATCTCCACTTTGTGAATGAAGAAACAGACCCTTGACTGCATTTGTGTAGGAAAACATCTCCTCAGAGATCATTAAGGTAAAATTTGGTGTTGCTTCCTTCTCCATTTTTCATGTTCCTTGTCTATTTTTTCTTGTTTTACATCATTCAGATCATAAGCTTAACACAACTCCTGGCTTAAATGGGTAGCGATTCAATGGGCCTGGAAAACCACATGTGTTAGAAGCTATTTCAGCCATCTTGATGGTCATGAGCCCTTGCCAGAGAATCAGAGCAAGTGTTGTTAGCAGACACTGACAGGTCTGTGGTAGACAATTTTACCTAAGCATTCCTGAGAGTCCTTCACAGACCTAGATGGGAAGAGGAAGAAAACGAGAGGGGCATTCTGGAGTTGAAAGTTGCTGAGTGTAAAGTCTTGTTGTCAAGGAGTGGCCTGATAACTGCGTCTAGGAAGACACCACTAACCCAGGATTATGTCCCGTGGTCCAGTCTGGGTGATGGGGAGCACAGGGTCAGAAATCTTCTAGGAGAGGGCACTAACTGCCAGGATGGCAGCAGGCTTAGTGGTTCCTACAAAATGAGGACTCAGCCAGTGGCTGGGAACATGGGCAGGCTTGCAACACTGGGATGAGAGGCCTGGTAATAATAAACGGCATCGTTAAGCCCTTTTGCTTTCTAATGAGAAGGGTCAGGGTGGGACTGTGTATATTAAACTAGAGTGAGGAGGGCAAACCAGGATTAGAGAAAGATGAACTGCTATAAACTTTATCTGTCTCACCAAGGCCCACACTACTGGTCCTTGAAACATACCATTCTCTAAAGCGCTCCCCTGATGATTCTCTTTTACTGGGCAGGGCTATGTCTGCAGGCTCATAGCTCTGAGTTCCTTCAGGTCCCTGAGGTTGAGCCTGCAGGAATGGAAACTATGATTCCTGGGCATTCCTGTTATACTGAGAGTTCTAGAAATACAAGTCAGTGTCAACACACAACTAAGTGAAAAGAAAAGTATTGCTCTTCCTTTCAATTTTGGCAGGGAATAGGAAATCGAGAAAAAGATGTTAGCCCTGTCCATGGAAACAGATGTGTGTCCAATATCAGGGACCAAATCTCGTACTCTGGAGATAAAAGCTGGAGGTTAATAAGACTCTAAAAAAATTCATCTGGATGTAGAGAATGGTGTGAAGAAGATTAGTCAAACTTTGAAATTTTACATCTCATTCCATGTATGTAGAAAAGAGATTAAAAAGAACTTCACCAATAATATTTATGCTGGTTGACTGGCTCCTTTTCTAAGTACATATGGATTTTGTGGATACATTTTTCTAAATCAGGAAAAACTAGTATTTCTACTAATGCCATTTAAATCATAGAACTTTGATATTTTTAAGCATCTGAAATTTAACTAGCTCTTTCAGCACCAAGTTCTTTTAAAAGTAGAAGCAATTTTTAAAAAGGCAGTTTTAAATATCACTTTTAAAAAAGATATGCATAGACCTCATGTATGTTAAATATAAAGACATTTTAACAATTTAATGAGATAACATATAACCTTATAAAGTCAAACTCTGTAGATATGCCTGCTGGCTGGTGAAGGCAATTAAATGTCACTTTAATTTGATTTATTGCTTTTACTAAGAGATGCAGTGAAAACTGAGAAAAAAGAAACTTGGCATAAAAGAAATGAATATAACTTTGGTATACTACAGTGTCCTATCTTTATTTTCTACTCAATTTGATATTCCATTTTAACATGTATAAATATCTAGTGGAGTGAATTTTACCTACAGTTTTGGCTTCTATTTTTCTTTAAAACCATAAAGACATAGAAAGTTGAAGTTCAGAAGTACATAATCACCCAACTCAAGTCCTACCAATTGTGAATTCTGTCCTTAGTTTATAAGTGGATTTAAAATGAAACCTGAACTTCCAGTAAAATATGTATAATCACAAAACAGGAATTAAACACATCCCCTATTTATTTATATCTCTTGTATATGGTTAAAAATAAATCAAAATCTTGAAACCCTGGCTCCTTCATAATGTAATTAACTTCAAGATAATTCATAACAGTAGATATAATACAGAGCCTGGGTAACTGAGTGAAAAAATTCATTTATTATATCATATTTATCATATCCATACAGACTGATGAGAAACACGAGTCATATTGTCCAATGAGGACAGATGTATGGCTGTATGAGTGAATGACCAATATGGCTTGTGTTTCTGATCAATCTGTATGGATCCCAGTCCAGCTTTGTAAGAGATAGTAACCCACCTCATGTGGGTGTGCCATAGTTTATTCAATTATTTTATAATTTGTAA